AACGTGGTGACACTCTTTACCGACAGTAATGATTGATTACCGACACAGATTACCGATTCCTGGTATTGATTACCGACAGAGATTACCGATTCCTGGTACTATTTACCGACAGAGATTAACGATAACGATTATCGATATTAGATTCATAACGGTGAGCAGTTGGTATCTAGGAAAGGGAACCTTCTCCATTATTAAGCTCACGCGGAACGAAACAGATTTAATCACTATACAAGGTGATCCAACAAAAAGGATCTAAGACGTTAGAGGCTTATACTTTTTCGGCGTGATCTTTCGGCTTGATTTTATAACCTATGTTGATTAGACATTTTTTACTCCACTCGGTGAGTACTATAAACACCTAGTCCCAGACCCGTTTTTAGAACATCGAGTTTATGGAATCACCTCTTCGCCCAGGTATACGGTAAATCTTCGATTAACGCTCGAAACTTGGGATTGCTTTGGATAAGTTATCACAGAGGGACACGATTTTTGCAGTTCATTAACAGCATTTCGGGCCGAAGTCCCTGGATGAACCCTCCAGTAGTGGGGATGAAGCAAAAGCATGTAACGTAAAAGTCCTTGCGAGTACTTATCGAGGATTTACCGTATTATGAAATCGTTACTTGTATGATCGTATCTCTAATAAAAATCATGCTATTACTATTACATTCTCCCTTTCTCGAACTCCTTGAGTACATTCCAAAGCGAAAGAGGACCGTCTGAGGTCGTTCCAAATACCAAACCCACCCTTCGAGGGGGAGAAAGGAGGGGGGTAGACGTTTCGTGGTATTCGAACTGTCCGCGTGCCACTCGAAGGATCAAGACACGTCGTTGTTCAGGTATTTTGCGAATGCCCGTGCGGAACGCCCGAATCAGGCCAATCGTTCTCGATGGGGACCGATGCATTCGATGTGCAAGCACATTCGCATACTCGAAAGTCGTATGCAAATCAATATTATTGAATTCCGCGCGGTATATATGTGAAATATATGAAAAAAATCCACGACGAATCTATCTTGCGCGTCCCCTCTTGTCTCTGTTAAAGTTAGGTTAGGTTCAGTGACAGCGGCCATATTGCACGCTAAACTTATTTCGTGCAGCACACTATTATATTTATTCCCTATTTTTGTACTCAATACAGATGTATTAAGTGCAGTAAAAAATTCATTTTTATTATTATTGTTGTTTTGAACATTTTATTACAGCCAAGAGCTCGATTGTTTTGACCCCGTGTTTCTGTGAAATTTATCCAACTGAACAGCTTCCGATAATTAATTCAAGTCAGTGGTTTTTACGTTACATTATTCGAATAAAATGAGAAAGCCAATTCACAATAAAATTCGTTCCAAAAAATGCATAAAAACATACGTCTTCCAAGGGTTAAACCTAGAACTCCAGAGGTTTAAAAAAATTAAATAAAATTTCTCAATAGATATTTAAGTTGGATATCCGGAAGTCCCCGTTGCTAGGGAGTTCTAGGATTAAGAGTCGATTACTTTATATACAGGGTGTCTCAAATATATCGACTATCACAAAAACTATGTTGAAGATAATTTTCTATTAACAAACATAGTGTAACTGTACCAAAAAGAAACGATGAAAGGAGAAGAGGATGGAACGTATCGAAAACCGTCGGAAAACCAGTCGGTCCCTTGGGCGTCGCGAAAATAACGTCTGGGACGAAACTGTGCTCGAATCGATGGATCTATAGGAAACACGGTCCGAGGAGCTCGAATGGTTTAATATTTATCGATATTCCGAGCAAGGGTGCACGAAGTCCCCGAGTACTGGGCGGTAAGAACCACGGAAGCTGCTTTGAAAGCGTGGAGGGAAGCTCGAGTAACGTGTAGAACGGTATACTGAAAGGAATACTGTGGTGATATTGTGATGATACTTCTGAAAGGAAAAAAAAAACAATTTTTATACAAGCTATTGGTTCTGCTAGTTTTTGACGTTTTAAATTCCAAGGTGGTAGGTCCAGCATTTTGTTATAATGTCATTCACCTTCAATTGATTAAAACATCGAAATTAGCAGATATATTTTTAAGTAACTATTGAATGAAAAGAAAGTATTCTAAAAATATTCATGTGGTTCCACAGGCTACACCTAAACAGTGAAGGGATAAATATTAAAGTTGGAGATTTGATGTTAACTCAGTACCAGCCGTCTGGCGGGAGATTCAAATGCCAGGAACATAGCTTTAAAGCGGCGGGGTGATTTAAATGCTAAAGGTCAGCAATAATTTATTTCAGAAGTTCGTTTCTAACTTTTCTCAATCCAATATTTAACACTTCGAACACCGGAATATTTTAAATTTCGACTCGATATTTTTCGGACTTAATTCCTGTATGTATAACATTTATGAAAGTAGGTTGAAAGTAAAAATCCACGTTATCGAAGACATTCCTACATAATGATTATAATAAGATTTTTATCACACTTACATAACAAGAGTAAGGTGTAATACGGGAGGTTAAACAGGTAAAAAAATACATGCATCAGTGTGAAAAAAATACACCAAACAAAATTTCAATACAAACTGTTACAGAACCGAAAAATTGAGTGTAAATGAAGATGATAATTAAAAAGTGGGAATTAAATTCGCTCAATAAACCCCTGGAAGGCAGACGCTTTGTACGATAACGCAATCATTGTAACGTGGGTCTGTTTGGACCCCCACAGACCTTCCACCAAATTCCTCCACAAACTGCTTCCTTTTTAATCGAACTAATACAAACAACTACTAACCTCAGGTAGTCACTAAAAACAATTAAGCCGCAGAAGGTTGCTGACCACTCGGGTCAAAGTAGACCCAGTAACCCTTCCCAGCGTTAAATCAACGAAACTTCACATCCAGAACTATCAAATCCATCCACTATCATCCGCCACTAAACTTTAAAAATAGTCCACATTCATCGCACAAATCAGAGCGAACATCTCTCCAAATAAAAATTCTCTCCCCACAAAAATCATCTACACAAGAGTATACGCAAAAAAAAAAACCGTTAATCACAAGTGACGAGGATTCCACGTCGATTTACTCACGGTTAGGAATCGGTCGTTCCGCTTCTGTTCCGCCGCCTTGTCTCAACCGCTCGAGTCGGATTATCCGCGGAGAAGGAGGGACGAGGGCAAGAGGGGAGGGGCGAGGGGGTTGAGGGAGGGGCAAGGGGGAGGGGCGAGGGGGGAAAGGGGATTCCCCGGGCGCGTCGAGCCGCGGGAGGCACGAAAGTGGCGGTCGACTGCCTCGAAATGCGTCCGCACGTGCAGGTGTACACACACCGGCCGAGGAGGTGCATTGTACTTGTCCGTCGTACGTGGAAGGGAACAATGGCAGGCTCGTGCTAATTTTAATCGAGCCGGAGCGCCACTCGAGGGCCGTAGAGAACACCGCCGTGACCGGTTCTTTCTTTCTCATCGGTTCGACAACGCTCCTCGTTTTGCCGTGTCGCGGGGTTACGACTTCTTCGATTGGCCCTGGCACCGCGAACGATCTTGGGTGCCGTGGATTTCAGTGGTATAGTATACCTCTTCAGCCACTCGATCGAGGGAAGGGTCATCTGATTGGTGCAGAGGTTTTGCTGACTGATGATGACAGGGGATTTGAAGGTTGGGTGGGAAGAGCATTTTGGGTTTGGATACATTCTGGGTTGCTTGTGAGTACAGGCAAAACTACCCGTAAATTTTTGGTAAAAAATTTTTTGGTTCTTCCGGGCGAAACCACCCCCAAATGTTGATGTGTCTTTTCCCGTTTATCATGGAAACTATATAGATGTAAAAATACTGTTAAAATAAAAATTCAATAGCTTTTCGTGCTCTAGAAAAGTGTACAATAAAATTATTAAAAATTTATTTCTTTATTTATTTAAAAAACTAATTTGTAACAATTTTATTGGACACTTTCACAGAACACGGAAAGCTATTAAATTTTTACAGTTTTTTTTACATGTATTATAGTTTTCAAGATGTCACAGGAAAATAGAAAAAGACGCATCAGCATTTAAGGGGACGTTTCACCCTGAAGAACCGAATATCAACAAAAACGAAAATTGACCTGTTGCTTCTATCGAGGTCGACAACGAACCTGCGCAGTTTAAAAAAAATGAAATTTTCGAAGTACCAAAGTGCCCTTGTACAACACGAATTCCTGACTCAGAAGAAATGGCCTCAATCTATCAGAAACAATTCAAACTGAACTTTCAGGATCAATTACATAAAAAAATAATATCGTTTTCAAGGAATGAACTAATAGTGCCATCGATGGAGGTTAATTTTGGTAGATAAATAGGGTCATTATTGATGAGGTTCGTACTGAAGACCGATATTGGCCAACTATCAAGTCCACCCAATGGTGCAAAGAACACGAACCCGTATCGTGCGTCCTAAGTTCGGAAAACTCAGCCGTATTTGTTCTCGCCACGAAAACCGCAACAAGGATTGTCGAAACTTTCTTCATTCGATGCGGAAAAGTTGCCCCGCGGAACGACCATAAGAAACGAAAAGGAGAAAGGAGGGCTGGAGAAGTCGTTTCGTGACTTCCGGATTGGACATGTCCCCCGAGATAGAAGACGTATCGCCGCGAAGACGAATCATCGATTATAATGCTTTTTGCAATAGCTGTCATAGGGAACGGAGACGTCAAGAGAAATCGTATAAAATACCTCTGAAATATTGGTAAGCTTAAAAAATAATAAAAAACACCTTCAACAAAAATGAGGCTATCTTAAAAAGACTGAGAAAAAAATTAAGAATCAAATTCAAAATTGAGTTAGTCCAGCTGATTGCCCCAAAGTGCGTTATATATATTGCATATAGCTAAAAAAAAACTGAGGCGTTTTTAAAAAAAATTTTAATATTTTGTAGTGAAGAAGCTTATTATGGCATCAAGTGCCTTTTGTTAATATTCAACGTTAAAAAAAAGAGGTAAAGTGGTATTGTCATTAAATGAATGAAATATTTTTTCTGAATTCTTTGGTGAATAACAGTTGTGGACAAATACCTGTGCTTGCACAGCCGCCAGATAGAGCTGTGCCTCGCCAAGTTCGAAACGCTTTATGGAGATGTCCTCCTGCAGCTCGGCCACTTTAGTGTAAAGATTGCTTTCGGCGCTCCTGAAATTAGAGAAGGGAAACCCCGTTCAGCGGTTCGTGTTTCAGGGAATTAAAAGGGTCGAGTGTTTTCTTCGGCAAGGAAGTTGTGTAAAATTGCTTCTCTGTCACGTGTTTGTCTTTCACTGATTGAAGGACCAATGGGATATGGAACAAGAGGTGATTAGAGTCCCTTTTTATTCTAACATTAAAATTTTAAATAATTTTCTCTGGCGCAGGCAAAGATTCATCAGAGCCTACTTCAATTTCAGACAGCCACCAAAAATCAATTGAACACTTGAAATAATTTTGAGTGGTCAGTTTGTCAACGCTTGTCGTAAGGTAAAGAAGATCGTCGTTACGAAGATGGCAGCACTAGCTTACCTACAGTGCTGCCATCTAGTTCCACTGATGCATTGGTAATAGTTTCAGAAAAGTCACTAAATGTACACTGCCAACCAAAAGTTTGGTACGACTTGCTGCCCCTCCCCTCACCAAAATCATACCCTAAATATAACATTTGTAATCATTTCTGCTGAAACCGTAAGTTCCTCATTTTTATAAATGAAATGAAAAACTTTTCTGAAAATATCAACAGTCAATCAGTGATTAAGAAAAAGGCACTGTAGGTGGAATAGTGCTACTACTATTACAACAATAATTTTAACTGTGTTTCTTCTATCTACATACTTGCGTTGCATGCGGGTCAGAGCGTCCAAAGCGTCCTGAAGTCGCGAGATCTCCTGGCTAAGACCGTCGTGTTCTCTTCGAAGATCCTCCATTAACGGCAGCGTGTTGGTACCAGTAGGGGCCAGCTCATCCCTCAGGCAGGGTATCTGATTGATTCTTTCCATTGGCACCTGTTCAGGAGGGCCTGGAGCGACGAACAAACGTCTGGCTGGCTTCTTCGATGGCGTCGCCGTGGCTGACAGACTTCGTGCTAGAAGCTGAAGGCAGAATCCTCTCTCATTACTACGACCAAAAGATTACCCACTTACTCACTAGAATCACGTTTTTTGTAGAATCTAGCCACATATTCAAATCCTAAAAGTCTATAATATCTTGACAAAAACAAACAGATTACACTTTTACATCGCCTCCTTTGCAATAAGTTGTTTCTCTACACTGGTGCTTTCTGATCGTAAAATTCAGGAACACCCTATGTAAGTATAGACGCAATAAAAGAAATTCGTATCCCGTGCTAGGGGACACAAAAAGAGAGTAGGGATTATATGAGGACCAAGGTGCCCGTTGAGAGGTTAGGAATGCTAACCAACAGGTCACGTGTCACTCCAACAGACAGTTACATCACGAAGTGAGTCTACATTCAGACGAAGCGTTCTATTCGAGGGAAGCCTCACGAAGAGAAAGTCTTCGCAGCTGAACGCGTTTCTATGGCCAATAATCATTTCAAACTCCACGCAGAGAACTGTGTCGAGGGATAAAGTCCCGTTCCAGCTTCTTCTCTCGAGTGGAATGAATTATCCGGTCGGGTTACGCGGTAATTCAGTAGGCAACGCGAACTAGGAGGGAAGATTCAGATCCGAAAAAATTGCAGGATTATACCAAGGAAGACCTACTTGCAGGTCGTTCAACGGCACGATGACTTGAGCTTCCTTGGCGACACCCTGATAACGCTTGGCCTGCTCGCCGGCTCGCTCCGCCGCTGAATCCGATATCCCAGCGACGCATTTGCAAACCAATCCGCATAATTCCTCGTATACCTCTGCTATATCGCCCAATAGACCCGGCAGGCACTGCGTCTGGTACCGTTCCGTAATCGCATTGGTCGCCCTCAATTGGAGGATGTACGCGTTGTGCGCCTCGAAGTAGCCGCGCCTCAGCTCCTGCTCGCTCGAGGCGTCGCTCATCAGCAGCGCGGCGTACGCGCGTTTGTAGTCGCCGCGGGCACGCTGCAGCTTCTCCTCGGACTTGGACACCACTTGCTCAAAAGCCTCGCGATGAGTGAACACCTGGAAGGAACGTCGATTCGATTGCTCGTTAGCCAGCGCTAGTTAGAGGGTATCTGAGGGCTTTCGGGGAAGGAATTAGGAGAAAACAACTTGGCAGTGATCATTAGGTGTAGGGAGGGTCTTGGACATTGAGAAGGGAGATTAATCTTTGACTGGATTTCAATGGTGATCATTGGGTATGATAAGATATCTGAAGTGGAAGACGATCATCAGGTGTAGTAGGACATCTGTATGTTTGGTGGAAAGTAAGGTGACGTGGTTTTTAAGACCTGTGTCTAAGGTAAATTTAATCTAAAGTACACCCGAACCATCTAAGTGGGCCGGGCCTTATAATGTTGGGAAGCGTGGAAACGCCGGGAGAAAAATTACCCCGGGTAATGGCACCCCTAGACTGGACAGTCTTTGAGTAGGCCGGGCATTTCAACGCCAGGCTCGTGGCCTCGGAGTACTAATCATTAATCACTAAATTCAATTTAGCTTGGATCACAAAATGTAAATGTACGTTGAAATCCACTGAAGGTGCAACCTTATGCACGTTCAAATAGACAGTAACTATAGATACAAAGTATGACTCTTACCCGCAATCATAGAAGCTTTCACTATTTAAGTCATAAGACACCTTTGTACCTGTGAACCCCTGATACCTCTGGAGATACGAAAATCTCATTAAGGACAAGGTTGCATTCGCTATGCACAGTTTGAATAGCAAGATGTATCTGCATGGTTGTCAGGAAGACATTCTTCTTATCAGGGGTATTCAAATGTTCCCTGCACCCTATCCTCTTTAGACTAATCACTAACTACTTTTATCTTTAGAATACGTTACTACATAAATGGGTATCAAGCAAGGTGATCCAGTTTGAATGGTCTAACGTTAGTACCTAGTATAAAAAAATATTCACAGTTGTCTCAACTTTGCTGGTCTAATCAGTGTCAACTAGAGGGTACTTGCCTTCCTGGATTGAAGCTTCCTATGGAAACTGGCTTCCAAAGTGGGTCTGGACAATTGTTGCTGGAGAACTGCAGCCAGGTCCAGGTGAGCTACCGCGTCAGCCTCTACCTGACGCAGCAAACTCTCCCAAACCCGTCGCATGCCTCCTGTGTCCATTCTAGTGTCTCCGGATCTGCCACGAAACTCGTCGACCAGACGTCGAACGTTCGCTGAATGGCTCTCCATCGCAGCGCCCAGTTCCTGCGCGAACTCGGACACTGTAACAAAAATTGGTATGGTCAGATTTGACGTTGTTGCACTGAGTTTGTTGTTATTGGACTCAGTTTGTCATCACTGGGACACCATAAACTTCTAATTACAGTTTGTCTGATCGTTTGGACAGGTTTGACGTTACTTCATACTGTCAAGTGTCAATGGGACAATAACGTATTATTAATGATAAATCAATTCAACAAGAATATGTGAAACAGTAAAATATTTAAATCGGTTTAGTCAATTTTACCTGATTGTTCGAACACATCTGAGACAGTTCGACAGACATAATCCTGTATACCGAATCCCTGGCGAACGATTAACGCTAACCACTCTAAGAGAAGCATAATCCCCAGCTGTACCAGGTGTAACAGCACGATGTATCGATTAACCAATTAGTAAACGCAGAATATTTATTGGTAATTATTAACTCGCAATCTGTTATTAAATACGCGTTTAAACCGCCCACACTAATTACCAATCCTTCCCAAGTAAATCGTAGGCTCCAGCACCCCCGAACAATTTTCCAAACGTCCTTCAATCGCTAATTACGTCATTAACTCACAATCCGCCTGTGTCGATTCATCGATCACGTTCGTTATCAACGAAATTTCAGGGCCGAGATTTGTTTTCCACCCGGTGAAAAGTGATTGTGTTCCACGAGAATTGTCCCCATCATCGATGGCCAGCTCTTCCGCAAATGTACCCCCAGCATCACACAATGGCGGCCATTTATCGCGTCGACAGACGCCTCGTCGATCCAGCCACGGTAATTGTCCGTTGATACAAGAGCGGCTTTCCGGCCCGTCGAAATATTTGAAGAGAACTCGAAATCTCGTGTAACCGCCGCCGCAGACTTTCGATTTTCCCGCCTCCCGCCTCCTCCCCACCCGTCAACTGTCATGGTGGGGACTTGTCGCGCGTCAGCGATTTTAAGTCGTGTCATTCCGAGGTTCGAACGCGCGGTTTGTTCGAGTGTTATTCGACGCAGGTACAGTTTAATTAAATTGCAACACGATTGATTGGAAATCCTTCTCTCCAGTGTTGTTTCCTTAGTATTTGTTAATTTGTACCGTTTAAAAAGAATAATAATATTATTTATAGTTATATATTACCGATTTTGGTATTTTGTCGTCGAATTTCGTGATCGACACGCAGGTCTCCGATTAATTGGGGTTAAACGTCATTTCAGACAAACCGTGTTCTCAGACGGAATATGTCCTTAATGAGGGTCCCTGATAAGACGTTAATTAGAGGATGAAGTCTCATTAAGAACTGGTAACTGATAAGTCCTTTCCCTTGAAATTGTAAAAAAAATTGCAGTCGGACGTCTAAAAGGAGGAGAAAACTGCGTAATAACATTTCAGTTCGCTATTCTACAGGGTGTCTCGCTTATAATGAACATCGAAATTAATTCCGCAGGTATTGAAGGTAAGGAAAATTATTAAGAGGAGTTTGTATGGTGTCAATACGTGCACCTGATTGAAGAAAATCCCAGAGTTAAGTCCATAAAAATAGCAACATATGAAACAACAATTTTCAATCATTTTTAATTTAATTACCTACTTTAGCAATTCCGTAATTTTATTTATTTATATTCGTTATATCTGACATGCCTTATCAACAATGCTAGATACCCTTTTGTTAACTTCTTTTTTTAATATCATTCATGAAGTGCGTTACAATTGAGACACCTTGTATGTAAATACACTCGTAATGTTTCGCCCCATGCTTCGAGCACATCCAGGTGCAACTTCGTAAAAAACGAAGACACCTAGGTGTTTATTTCGGTTTCCAAGCATGCGATTCGCGAAATCCCCCATTTAACAACGAAAGCAATTCATTAAACCCAGCCCCGTATTCATCCGTTGGATATTCGTCCAGCCTTCTCGAAACTCATTAGCAGTGGCCTGGTCCACTTCCGGCTCATTCGTCCGCGAATACGCGAGCATCTGTCTCGGGACGACGAGTGGCGCAACCGAGAAAGAGGCGGCAGTTCTACCCGCAGCGAAAAACGTGTTGTACGCGCGGTTAAAAAAAATATTTTCGCAGTGTTCCGCATCTGATGGAAATCAAGTTAACAAATTTTTTCAACACAATCCTGAAATTCGTGTCATTGCATTATTCACGAGGATGGTGGAACATACGCGGATGGGTCCCGAAACGGGTGGGGCGACTGAGATAGAGGGGATTTTATGGGAGAAAAATGGATTAAAATCGAAAAAAATTATGATAAAAAAAAATGCGGAGAAAAATGTACAAAGCCTCTTGTTCGAGGTAATAAGTAGGGCCTCTGGTATCCGAACCGCCATTATCTGAATATTCTGATTTTCGAATGTTCTACTATCCGAACAAAGTGACTCCCAACAAAAAGATATGGGATCCATAAATATTTAAACAAACTGTCAAACTTCCTTGATTTGTAAATAAATGAAGTTTTGTAGGAGAAAAGGGTTGGTTCTATTATCCGAACCCTTACATTTCCATGTTAGTTCGGATACGGGAGGTTCTGCAGCATTATCATGAATCACGTATCCGCATGATCTTCGCAAGGACAATGACATCATCCGCTGTTGCAACTAAACCACGGAGCTTAATTTCGAGCGAATCTACCGAGAATGATCTCACCTGTTTTGCAACCACGATCACCTGGCAATGACGCTTAGCGTGGCAGTATTATTTCTAAACGGAACGAAACGAACGTCATCGGGTCACGGTTGTCCAAAGATACGATCTCGCTGACATTGACTTTCTCGAAAAATTTATACGAAAAACCAAGTACACGAATATTCACAGCGGAACGTCTTCCGCCATATTTAATCGATGTAAGTATCTTCGGACTGATGGATCCGATTCATAACGACCAAAAAACTATTGGAATTCATTTCTATGCTGTTACGCGATGCGTACATAAGATAAAGTGAATTTTTCTGTCTTGTTTGATAGCCTAAACTGTAACAAATCCCACGAAATGACGTGACAAACCTTCGGTTAGGCGCCATTTTGATACTACAGAGACAAACCGCGGGAAATTCGAATTTATTGTTTCTCATCGCGACGTATCGATATTTCCCTGTAGTGCACACCCAATAGGGATGGTAGCGTGATTATAAATGGAATCACGCGTGCTTTGAGTAACAATTTTCACGGCAAACGGTGGTTCCGTCACAAGGGGGAAAGGATAAAACGCGACTCGGTTGTCGTCGTCCACCCCCAACTGCGCGAATGGCGATTATGTTTAGCAGCTAGGTCGTTAACGAGCATGGAATTGACATTCAATTATGCAGACGTGTCTAAAAATACGGGAGAGAGAAGCTTAATTAATTCTCGTGACGCAGCAAAGTCACCGGGTGGAATATTCTTGATCCTGGCGTGATCCAGGTTTCTGTCTTATCCATTTTTACTGCACCGGTAATTCCGTCATGCTCCAGGAAGAGTCGAGCGTCAAGGAAATTCTATGGAAATTTATATCTGACTACGTTGGAAGATGAAGTTCTTGGAATAATCGATCAGGTTACCTTTTTGGTACAGCGGAGCCTCCTTTATACGAACTCCTCATTACCTGAACGTTCTGTTATCCAAACTCTTATGACTCCCTGTTAGTTCGGATTAGACGTCGAGCCTCCTGTATTCGAACGTTCGAATGTCAGAACCTTCTACTATCCGAACCTTTTAATATTGGAACCTTCTACTATCCGAACCTTTTAATATTTGGAACCTTCTACTATCCGAACCTTTCAATATTGGAATCTTCTACTATCCGAACCTTTTAATATTGGAATCTTCTACTATCCGAACCTTTTAATATTGGAATCTTCTACTATCCGAACCTTTTTATATTGGAATCTTCTACTATCCGAACCTTTTAATATTCGAACCTTCTACTATCCGAACCTTTTGATACTGGAACCTTCTACTATCCGAACCTTTTAATACTGGAACCTTCTACTATTCGAACCTATTAGTATTGGAACCTTCTACTATCCGAACGTTCTGTTATCTAAACACTCATGTCTCCCTATTCGTTCGGATACAGGTGGCTCTACTCTATTCCCCGCATTTTGATTATGCAACGTTCGTGATCCCTTCGGTTTTTTCTGACGTCTACGCGAAAGAGGAAAGGTAAACCGAGAGCCCCCGCTGATACGTCTTTTTCTTTCGCCCAGTTGCCAAGGGTTACCAGGTAACTCGAGCCGATTTCGCGGAGATTTCTCGTTTAGCCGAGTGCTTTCATTACGGCCGTTGTTTGAATACGATCGATGGGGAATCTGTCGGCTCCGAGAAGCTCGACTGCACGTGTCAGCGTGCCTGTTTCGGGATGCAGAGGAATCGGTTATCTCTGACGGGAGCTGCGTAAATAACCCCGTCTTCCGAGCGAAGTGGAGATTGTCTCTGACTTCGAATCGATACCCGCCCACACGTTCCCTTTGGACGACACTTTTGTCGGTGGATTTTATGGCCGAGAACCAGGGTACGTTTGTTGGATATCGAAAGTACAATCGATATAACGATCAACACGAGAATCGAAGCTAGTTTTCTGGGGTTCAATGGAATGTGTCCCCTGGGTTAGGGTTTTTGGACCCAGAACCTTTTCAGAAAATTTTCAGTTGGATCACGAATAACTTCCGCCATAAACATTGAAAAGTTACTAAATGATGATTCAATAAAAAGAAATTCTAATTGACACCTATTGCTATTTATGTTTAATACTAATTTGAGAGAGTCATACGGGGTTTTGAAGATCTTCGGATTGGAAGAAGGGACAAGAGTGCAGGATAAGATTCAAAATTGAAATATCCTTATCCTGCTATTAGATTGTAATAAAAGATAGAACGAACATTGAAGTTTTAATTTAATTAGAATTTATGCGTATGGATGAGTATGAGCTAAAAATATTATTCAGAATGAGGTGCATGTACGGCAATACTGGTTACAAACGATGCAGCCAATAGAACATGACGTTAAAGTGTCATGGGATGGGTATACACACGAGGCGGCCATTTTG